TCATATTACCCCTATTATAGGCTGTTACTGGATTGGGCAGTACCCAGGGTATATAACAGGTAAATGAAGACACCAGGGAGCCCGTAATTCCAACCTCAGATTCTCATTTTCGGCCCAAAACGGCTCACTGGAAGGAGCGCAAGGCTTCGATACCTTCAAATCCACAGTGGAAACAATTTAGGGTTTAGGGTGTAGGGTCTAGGTTAGGAGGACCCCCCACTGTGTAATAGTGACTAGGGTCTTATTATATTCCGATTATACCACTATTGCAGGGTGGGGGGGTTCTCCTAGGGTCAAGGGATTAGAAATGTGAGTTTAGGATCTGCTGCTTGGGGAAGTTCCTGGGATTCGGTTCGAGGAACAGGCCAGCTTCATGCAATGTGGGGTTTAAGAACCTGACTTGCACTCTACTCAAACCTAAACCCTAAACCCTTCCCAAGGTGACATAGAAGACCCAGGATCTTCCAAGCAAGACCCAAGTCCGGCCGTGATAATGGTAGCTACCCTCTTCGGGAAACTCATCCACAGAGTCCAAACTGAGATGATTTCGATCATAAGACAACACCCCCAAAAAAGTTCAGCGCTTAGGTACATATCCAGTCTCGGCAAATTGTCTTGGATCCTCAAGATTACAGCCCAAGTGACAAGAGACCAGCGTGTGGTAGTCACACTTTCCACCTGCGATCGCCTGCCACAGCTTGCAGTCTACGCCATGTCGAAAACCCTATACAGAGTTACTCAAAATGGAGGTCAGTATTACACGCTCACATAGGGTTAAGGGCTTAGGGATTAGAAACTCCCATCTTATTCTGATTTTGATCATGACAAGCTCGAGAGCATCATGCACCCGTCCGCATGACTGTGCCTTGAAAGTCAGGACGCCCCCGTGCCTCCCAAAGGCGAACCTGTTGGGAGCCCCCATTATGAGCTCAAAAGTCTGTTGGTGTATATGCACATATAGTTAAAGAGAAAGAGAGAGAGAGAGAGAGAGAGAGAGAGAGGTATATATATATATATATATACATGGTAATGTCCCTAAATAGGGGGATCCCAATCTAGACCCCATGGGGGGCCCCCAAAAGGTACCCCTAATTTTGGGAAGCCCCCATGTATATCGGACCACACTTCTGGAAATATCCACCTAAACCGTAAACTCCAAAACTCTAAAACCCTAAAACCCTAAAACCCTAAACCCGAAAAAACCCTAAAACCCTAAAACTCTTAAACCCTAAAACCCTAAAACTCTTAAACCCTAAAACCCTAAAACTCTAAAACCTTAAAACTCTGAAACCCTACACCACGTCAGCTTCTCGATCATACTTTTGGGCGGCCAGGCCTTCTCGTCGTTTGTCCGCTCGTTGCTTCGGGACATCTTGAAGCACAGCCAACCTTGACAGTAGGGTTCAGGGTCTAGGGTTTAAGATTTTAGGGTTTAGGGCTTAGGGTTTAGGGTTTAGGGTGGAGTACGGGCCACATGCTTACTGGACATGAGTTCCCATGAGGGGCTATACGGGAGATCATGCTAAACTACAATAGGTGCCCCGAAGTCTTCCTTTTAAAGGTCCAACCTTCACAGTATGAGGGGCTGATTAATTAGCATAGGGTTCTGGGAGATATGCGCCATAGTCTAAACTCGTAGTATCCCCCTTCATAGCCTCTATAGTACTCCACAGTAGAATCCCCTATATAACCCACTTTAAGGAGTTGAGTCTATAGCCTATATCAGACTATCGTCATACGAGGGCTCCAGGTGCAGGGGAATAATATAGATGATTGTTCAGGCCTCTACACTGCAAAAACCACGAGCCCAAACATATGATCACCAAATGATAATTACGTCATTACGTTTGCCAACTACAATAGATGACCTGAGATTGGAGCATATTGTGAAAGTAAACTCCAGCTGAATCACCTGTAGGAAAAGAAGAAATAATGCGGGAGAAGCAAAGCAGCCGCCGTGCTCATGGTCCACCCAGTGCTTCCAGCAATACTGCCAGAGCAAGACATACTTCTCGACGTACTTCGGGTCCTTCGTGGCCTGAGGCTGCAGTTTGAAGCGGCCCAGGCTAGTAAATGGTAGTTTCCCTAAATTACTGTTCCCAAAATGGGGGAAATTTATATAGGGCCCCGTATTGTAATGGGAACCCAAATATAGGACCCCGTATTATAGGGAACTAGACCAATCCCCAAATGGCTGCTGCCACAGCGGGGATCAAAGGTCTTAGCTCGAGGCCTCCCAGAGCAAGGAAGCAGCAGCAATAGACTCACCTTGCACCTCAGTACGGCTAAGGGTTTAAAGCTTAGGGCTCAGGGTTTACGATTTGTACAAATACTTTGCGTTTGAGGGTGGGGCTTTTTGAAGTTAAAACTTACATCTCAAAACTAAGGAAATGGGGACCCTAAGAAATTGCATGTTCATTTGGTCTTGAGGCTTTGAGGTTTGGGGTCTGTAATTTCGAAATGGAGCCTTTCCGTAGTATGTAGGGTCCAGGATTCAGAGAGAACTGCATGGCCCCAAGTGACTACAATTGGAATGTAAGCAGGAAGGGTATGATTACAGAAGGATAAGAAACTGCATATGAGCTATACTCTAAACTCCTAGTATCTCCCTTAATAACCCATATCCTACTCCCCTATATAATCCCCTGTATAGCCCCCTTGAAGGAGTTTAGACTATGGCACGTATTATGTCATCAGTGCCTCTCTAGCATGCCAAGTTTCGAACTCCTAGTTACACACAAAAGCCAAACGGGCTAGGAACAGGGTTTAGGGTTTAGGGTCATCTTCTTGGGAGGTGTTCGAATTCCGGAAACTGAAGCCCTAAACCTAACCCCCTTCCACAGCAGTGGTCAAGCAAGCTGAAAGGTCCTGTCCCACAATAGGGGGACCCTCATATAGACCTCAAAACACTATAATCATTATGGGACCCCAAAACGGTACCCTAATTTTGGGGAAACGCTGAAAACTCAACCCCTAATCCGTAAACCCTAAACCCTTAATAATCCTATATACGCTTCTATAACCCTATATATACTCCTCTATACGCCTATCTAACCCTGTATAACCCAAAAATGGTCCCCCGGAAAGCCCTGAGCGAAGTTTCAGGCTGCAGCCCAGAAGTACTTCTCACTGTCACACCACTTCCTTGCGGAGAAGGATGTGATCTTCTGAACCCTAAACCCTAAACCTAAACCCTAAACCCTAAACCCTGAACCTCAACCCTAAACCTTAAACCCTAAACCACAAACCGCGGTTGTAGACTACCGGATGGTGGAGCACGTGCAGGGTTTGAGCGATTTGGTTTGGGCAGATGCAGTGAGTGAGATTTAGGGTTTAGGGTTTAGGGTTCAGGGTTTTTGGTTTAGGGTTTAGGGTTCAGGGGTTCGGGCTTAGGGTCTATAGGGTTCAGGGTCGAGGGTTTATTGTGCTTGGAGGTCGCCGGAGGCTCAGAAAGTAGACGATGGTCATGACTGTTAAATGCTGTGTTAAACGTGGGACCACTGTCGGTAGGCTCACCCTTAACACAACATCTCACACTCACACCCATTGACTACTCCCCAACGCTGTAAGCGAAGGGATCCCTGCTATCCTGACTGTTTAGGGTTTATGATTTACATAGCCTCTCTCTGAACCCACATAGGAGGTTGTTGCTGTGGTTCACCCCCAGGGCCCCAAGGGACTTGTTGTTGCTACTATTGTTGTTGCTATGGCCATTGGCATTGCTACTTATTACTGCTATTACGATTGTTGTTATGAGTGTTATCTATATTGTTGGTTATCACTGCTGCTATGTTCTTGCGCTTATTAATGATGATGTCCATTGCCATTATCAATGTTGCTTCATGTGGGGCTGCTTAAGAAGTTCTAGAGGTCCCTTTGAAGAACCGTTTAAGTAGTTCTTGGCAACTTCCACGTGATTCTTGTACAGTCCTTGGAGAAGCCCTAAAACCTAAACTCTAAACCGTAAGCAGGGGAATCGTTTTTGGGGCTTTGTCTGCAACGTGTCTAGTTGAAGCCTAAACCCTAAATAGTAGTTGTTCAATTTCTTTCTTTTCCTGAACCCTAAACCCTATGTATCCCTATAACCCCTTTTTATTAACAAACTTAAGTGCCTTTGCTAGGTTCAGTTTTCTTTTCGATTCCTTGGTGCTTGGTGTGGAGGATGTGTAGCTCATGTGTCAGGGCTCTATACTGGCTTTCTAGATAATATCAAATCTTTATGGCATTCTACGGACTATATAGGAATTAAGGGTAACAAAAATTCAGGAATCAGTTCCAAACCTACCCATGTTTTGGCTTCGGGGCTCAAGCTCCAGGGTTGAGGGATGGAGCACTGGATCACCCTGTTGTAGATGGTAGAACTCCCTGGTTAGGGTTTAGGATAACCCTAAACCCTAAACCCTAACCCCTAAACCCTAAACCTTAAACCCTAAACCCTAAACCCCTAAACCCAAACCCCTAAACCCTAAACCCTTTAGGGTGTAGGATCCCTGTGTTGCTTGTCTCTGATATACAAACATTGCGATTTGCGAGACGAAAGATGCTCACGTCGAGATGGCCCTTTCTACTACCACCCTGTTGTTACAGCATACACTCCCGTATAGATACCCTAAACCTTACCCTAAACATTCAACCCCTAGACCCTAAACCCTAAACCTTAAATTCTAGGGGATACTCTTATCATTACCATGAAGCCTCCCCAAGCGGTCCTGTCCGGTCCAAAGCCATAGACCAGCCCACCATGGTCTTCGTCCCACGACAAATCCCAAGCTCCGTCAAACAGCTCCTGCCGCAGCTCAAGCTTACTGGGGATTACTAGGGAAGAAGGGCATATAATCCCTCTATAACCCCTACATCATATTTTCCCTTGTACCCTACTAATCCCCAGTAAGCAAAAGGAGCAGTGTCATGGATTCCCTATTTCGCGGCAATTTGTTTAGCAATGGCAGGACCATGCCTGCACTTGGTGCAGAAGATGAACCATTGTCAGGATGTGTGCGTTTGTCAAAAAAATTGGTGGAGTAGAATGTCTCAAAAAATGGTGGAGTAGAATGAGACATTCTGTGGTGCCGAAGTGCTTTTTCGGACGGTAGGATATAGCAAGATACCAGTGATTTTCAGTATGGTGACACCGAGACGCATGACTGACTACGGCAAAGCAATGTGGGCACCGTGTCATAAGCCTGGTTGCCTGCGCATAAACTGCGTCGTCGACGAACGGTAGGATCTTGATTTGTACCCCCATAATAGAAGATACCAAATACAGGCACTCACCAATACTCCTGAGAAAGCCTATATGAGCGATTGTCTGAACTCATAGTAACCCCCTTAAACCCTATAATACCATCCTATATAACCCCCAATTTAACCTCCTTTAAGACTGTTTTGACTATAGCTCATGTGAGCTTAACCAGGCACGATGATTGAATGTACCAACCTCAAATTACTGCTACAAGGTTCGTCGGTCCCTGCAACGAGAAAAAAAAAACACAGCATCATTCAACGCGACCCACACTCCCATTAGGCCCGAACCCGCGGATGGCCGAAAGAACCTACTGTTGCAACCATATGAGCTATAGTCTAAACTCCTAGTATCCCCCTTAATAGCCCCTATAGTAGTCCCCTATATAACCCCCTTTAAGGAGTTTAGACTATGGCTCATATTGGGGACTTTCAGAAAGCAAATCCTGACTCCCAAGCACAACCTAAACTCCCGGGAACTAACATGGAAACCCAAAAAGGGCCCTATAAAGACTACAGTCCTTTAAAAAGGGGACTATATGGGTTTCCATGTTAGTTTGGTGGGCTTTTAACATTTGGGCTGACTCTCTCCCACAAGGTAGGATCAACTTGTAATACAAATAATAGTAGTGATAATGATAATACTGATCATAACAACCTACTAGTAATAATATGGGACCACCCTGTAATAGTGGCTATAATAGGAATATAACAGGACCCTACTATAATCCTTATTATCCCTTATAGTCACTATTACAGGGTGGGGAGTTCCACCTACAGTAATAGTATTTACACTTTGGCTGGATGCAACTCTTGTGTTGTACCAAATCCCAGCACTGAACAGTTCAATAAGATGCTTTGATACTATCCCACTATGGGAAAACAAGCTCAAATCCTACACCCTAAGCCCCAAACAGTAGTTTCCATGTTCTTTTCCATTATCTCTGAATAAGCCCTATAGAACCCTAAACTTAACACCTGTTACTTCAACCCGTCCTTGGCTCTGTTGACCATCCAGTACTTGGGTCTGTGACGGTGGATGTTCAGGAGGTTCTTCGCCCACTCAATCCTTGAAATACGGTATCCGCCGGGATGATGTTTTGCTTACAATACTCTGGGGATGCTCAAGGTTCTTTTACGGTTTGGGATATGCTAAGGGTTTGGGGTTTGTAGTGTTTGTAGGGTGTATGGTTTGTACTCCCCCTTAAGTAGATAGAATATGGGGTATATGGGGATCTTACTATAATATATACAAAGCAATATTCGATCTACTCAAGCGGGACTATATGGTTTAGGGCTTAGGGGTTAGGGTTTCCTGTATCCCATTCCCATGCAGGAGTGCATATGGCCTGTTTTGAAAGGAAGCTTGGATGCCTCAACAACTTGGCCCCCTATGTTTTGAACCCAATTCCCGAACCAGCATGCTCAGCTTTGTAAACTATCATACCTATGCATATGTATGTACATGTATGTGGGTGCGTGTGTGTATATATATATATGTATAGATATATATATATATATACAAATATGTGTATGCGTGTGCACTTATGTATACATCCACACACGCGTATCCCTTCACATGCCCCCCCCCCCCCCATTTCACCCCGGACCACTTGTTTGGGGCATGTAAGCATGTAGACCTGCTGATTTAGGATCCTAGGGCTTTTAACATTTGGGCTGACTCTCTCCCACAAGGTAGGATCAACTTGAAATACAAATTAGAGTAGTGATAATGATAATACTGATCATAACAACCTACTAGTAATAATGTCGGAGGACCCCCCCACCCTGTAATAGTGGTATATTAAAAATATATAAGGAACCTACTATAATCCTGATTATCCCTTATAGTCACTATTACAGGGTGGGGGGTCCACGTAAAGTAATAGTATTTACACTTCGGATTGCAGCCTAAACCCTTAAACCCTAAACCTTAAACCCCTAAACCCTAAACCCTAAACCCCTAAACCCTAAACCCTAAACCCCAATATACTAGTAATCGTATTTACAGGTTGGATTCCAGAAGCAACGTTCACCTCATAGCTCCCAGTTCTCCTTAACAAAGGACCGCGAACTTGAGCACACACGCGGTTAGGATTTAGGGTTTAGGGTTTAAGGATTTAGGGTTTAGGGTTTAAGGATTTAGGGTTTAGGGTTTAGCGCAAAACCATCAGGACTTCTGGTGATTTCTGTTGCCGCATGGAATCTTCTTGCAGCATGGGACCCCAAAATGTGAAGATGCCTAAGGCAAATGGTGCAATACTAGTAAAAGTAGTAATAATAGTAGTGATGATAATAACAGGCCTATAGGAAATCCTGACCATCCTAATTCCTCAAAGCCACTGATGCCCAGGCTGGAAGCCCCAAGGTCTGTAGATGTTGGTGGGATCGTTCTTGTTGTACTCCTGAGATCTCAGGATTTTAGGATGGGTGTACACACAGACGGGATGATTCGTCATTTTGCAAACTGCCCCAGCTGGTGCCCCAAGCTGCACTGTCAGCTTTCGGAAGCCTCATGCATCCAACCAAGAAGCCCAGTCAATCTCAAAGTTCACATCGTAGTGCTCCCAGACGAAGCCGCCGCCTATAATGGGGAGCGTCCAGCATGGTGATGCGGCTGATATGATGGGATAAGCCAGACAGGCCACAAAACTTTGCAGGCTCTAGCGCCAATCAATTTGATCCTGGCCTCTGATGACAGCTCCAAGACGATCCATTCAGAAAACATACTCAGCTAGCTCCCTTAGGCCATGAAGAATCTCATTCGCTGATGCACAAAACGATATGGCCTTTGGAAATGAAATCTCTGTCGCAGCTGCCCGTTGAACCCTTGCCCCCATGATGCCAGCATCATCATCATCATCATCAGAACCAGTATCATCTCGGAAGGAGGCAAGAAACAGGGAGAAGGAACCTCACTTCGCAGAGGGGCAGCGCAGCAAAGCCATGAATCCCAGGCTTTAGGGTTTAGGGGTGTAGGGTTTAGGCTTTAGGCCGGACGTCATTACCACGATGAGTCTTTGCCGATCCATGTTGCTCAATCCCTCAAGGGTCCAAGGGCAAGCATGAGTGCAAGGGCAACACGGCCTTTCGCAGCCAGCTTCCTCAGCTGCATGGAGGTTTTCAGAAATTAGGGGTTCGTTTTGAAGGGAGTACCTCTAATAAAGATGTTATACTATTTGAAGGTCTATGGTTTGGGCTGTCCACTTTTGGGAATACACATGTGCCAAAGAAGCACTGTTGAGCAAGGACTCTTCCTACATACGTCACCCGAATTACTAACAACCCACCCCGAGTGCCCAATCAATTAAGAGGGGCCCTAAAGCCTAAAGCCTAAAC